CAGGTGTTCCTGGCTGCATACGTTTTGCGCTTCTGGCAAAACTTGGAGATGTTGTTGTCGTTGTTGGATATTTCTTCCATATTAGTTGTATAGGGATGTATGTATCGACGTATTTTGAAGGGAAGAGCAGGCTCAATCTCTTGAAGGAGATTATCGTCACAATATATATATATATATATATATATATATATATATATATATATATATATATATATATATATATATATATATATATATATATATATAGTAAATAACAGGTGTTCCGGTGAGTAACAAGAAAGTTACAACCCATGTACCACTCCAACTACTTGGGCTGGACGGTAGAGCGACGGTCTTGCTTCATGCAGGTCGGCGTTCAGTCCCTGACCGTCCAAGTTGTTGGGCACCATTCCATCCCACCGTCCCATCCCAAATCCTTATCGTGACCCCCTTCCAAGGGCTATATAGTCATAATGGCTTGATGCTTTCTTCTGGCAGTTTTCTTCCATTCCGTTGGTAACTTCTCGCAAGTTTAATGCCTCTTCCATAACTTTGTAATGTTTTGCAAAGGTTTTATCTATCTACCTATATAAATATCTATCTATCTATCTATCTATCTATCTATCATCTACCCAACCATTTATGCATCCATCTGCTTATCTATCTTTCTATCCATTTGCCAGTTCATTTACATATCCATACACCCATCCATTAATCTATTCATAATAGCTATCTATCTATCTATCTACTGTCTTTGTTTCTGTCTCGCTTTATCTCTGACTTTTTTTTCTACGTCTTTCTCTTTGTCTCTGTTCCTGTCTCTATCTTTGCCTGTCTCGGTCTCTACCTCTGTCTTTACCTGGCTTTATCTTTGCCTCTCTCGGTCCATGTCTCTGTCTCTCTATCTTATAAAATATGTAATTGTCAAAAGTGTGAGTGGTCGCGAGTGAGAGGATCTTAGGCAACTGAAATACTAAAACATAATAGTTACCCCCCTTAGTCTGCAACCCGTTCTCGCACTTGCGTGTAGTCAATATTGGCTTATTTAATAAGTGCATATGTGACATACTAATTGATTGTGAATATTTTAGTTTACCTTGAAAAGCTTCATAGAAAACACCGACCTCACCTAACCTTCTTAGTATGTTAAGATAAGCTTGTCTGTTGTCTCTGTCTTGTCTTGCCTGCTTGTCTCTGAGACGGGACTCTGGCTTGAGAAACCTTAGTAGCTGTGGAAGGATCGTGAATTTTATGCGAATACGGGCAAATTACCGACAGGGGGGAAATTTATGTTAATTTTCCCGAGATCATTAAATAATGTGATATTAATATATCAAAATATTGTATTTTCATTATAAAAATTATGATATAAAACAATTATATTATTTTAAAATTCCCCACCAGTGTTACGCCTAACGATTCCTCTTCTCCACACTTTGAAATACTGACACCATGATCCGAAGTTAATATTGTGGTAGTGAGAGTTTCGTACCCATCTATTGAAATGGTAATTGCATACGTCCCTGAGAAGCGTGTCGCCTCCCACCAGAGGAAAAGCCCATTGCAAGAAGACTTGTAATATTGGCAATATGCGATATACAATATCCCCTCTGCTGTTTCTGGCAGCACGGGGTGCAAAGTTGTAAGGGAGGGAGTGGACGGAGGCGAAGGGTTCAGTGTCCATTCACTGGTTGTGGTTGACAGATCCAATATTATTTTTTCGAGGCCTGAGCAGCTTGATCTCTCAATGCTACAGCTGCCGGGTCTTGAATGCTGGAACCCTCAACACCATTGATCCTGAATATCGAGTGTTGCGGTCACTAAAGACACTGATCCCGTCTCTTGATTTCTAGATCACATAACACTGTCGATTGTGCGTACTGAGTCCTGGAAACCCAATTCCAGCACTCCAAAGTACTCTGGGGTGCTCCAAGGTACTCCAAAGTATTTTGGAGAACTTTGGAGTACTCCAAAGTAGGCGATGAGTCACAATAACGTGGCTAAAGTAAGTTGACCAGACCACACACTAGAAGGTGGATGGACGACGACGTTTCGGTCCTTCCTGGACCATTCTCAAGTCGATGGACTTGAATCGACTTGAGATTGGTCCAGGACGGACCGAAACGTCGTCGTCCCTTCACCTTCTAGTGTGTGGTCTGGTTAACTACTCCAAAGTACTTCATTACTAATGGATCTTGTTACTGGAACTCCCCAACTCATCACTGTTAGCAGATCTTCTTTGCTGGAATCCCCAACACCAGTGCCACAGAGTATTCTTTGTAGGAACCTCCAATTCTGCAACTTACGGGTCTTCACTGTTAAATTTCGCAACATTCAGGATCCAGTGTCATGGCTGCAGTGTCTTCCCCATTACCACTGGTCGCTGGTCTTGGCATCAAGACTCCAGCATCATAGGCACCGAGTTTTCTAGTGCTGAAGTTCCCGCCACCACCACTGTCGGGTCCCGAGAATGCTGTTTTCAGATTTTTTCCTAGAAATAGAAAGTTACTGGATGCTGTAAACATCGAAGTCTGTTTATTCTGTTTGATCATAAAGAGATAGAGAATTTTTTTTTAAGTAACTCTATCAAGTAAAACCGCTCCTCGTGTAGACAAACAAAATATTTTTTCCTGACAAATTATTTTGTCTTGACAAATGAACTTCCATCAAACTCACCCCTCCCTCACTTTCCAAAACAAAACAAAAATATTAACGTCGGTGCATTGCTTGCTATCAAAATTAACTTTAAACTGAGGACGATAATGAAACTAACCCACAACGTCCACATGGACTATTAACAGTCGCCGCTTCTCCCCAGATATCGAGGACGTCGTCACTCTTTAGACCAATGTTGACACACCTTGGGAAGCGACGGACACTGGCGACTGGTGAGTCAAAGTAACGTGTTCCACAGTCTTGGCAACACGAAGAGAAACTGGTGAACGGCTGAGTACACGTGGGACATGGGTGACGTATGGAATACTAGTACACACGGTGAGGCAGTACACGGTGAGGCAATACACGGCGAGGCAGTACACGGTGAGGCAGTACACGGCGAGGCAGTACACGGTGAGGCAGGCGAGGCAGCACACGGTGTGGGAGGGAGGCTGGTGGGATACAGCAATGGGTGTTGAGAGAAACCGTCCACGAGAGAAAACTGCCTCGTGTGGGCCACTTCCTGATAAACTGGTCATTTATGAACATGGAGAGAAGCTTGGGTCCCTGCGGATGATGGAATACCGACCGGTAAAGAGGCTCTCACTCCTCTCTCTCTCCTCTCTTCTCTCTTGCTCCCCTCTTTATTCTTCTCTCGCTATCTTTCTCTCTCTCGCATGCTCCCAAAGCGGTCAGAGCTAAGGACTTCCACTTCCTGATTAATGTGAAGGATTTTTCAATTGGAAAAGACTCCTTCCTATATACCTTTATTGATGGAACAAAAACTTTTAAGCATTAATATAGAGGAAGACTGACATAAACTTCAGGATGATCAGGATAAACAGAACATATAATCTAACAATTGGATTTAGGAGTTTTACTCTAGTAAGTGCAATGTTATATCGATCTGGTGAGGAAACGGGATGCTGGACATTAGATATCCTATGGAAAGGAAAATATTCTTTGAAGGAAGCAGAGTAAAACTTGGTGGATTACATCACACAGAATCTGCATCCCAAAACCCACATCAACCAGATACCATCAGCTGCATATGCAATGATCAGTAATTAGTGTAGTACAAGTTATATTAATCCTGGAATATCTGGTTCGAAGCTGGAGAAAGTCAAGAGATTCGCCGCCAGACTAGTCCCTGAGCTGAGAGTCATAAGATAATAAGAGAGTCCAGGGACATTAAACCTCACGACACTGAAAAAAAAGAGAAGAAACAGAGCGACCATGAGCACCAGATACAAAATACTTAGTGCGAGGGGAAAATGATAAGAATTACAAACGTTAAACTTTTAAGAAACCACATCTCTAACCCCCAAGCCAGCACAGCAATAACCCCTAAGCCAGTATAGCTATAACTCTCCGTAAACACGACTACAATGCCCTCAAACACACCTACAACACCCGCAGGCACACCTACAACACCCACAAGCACACCTACAACACCCGCAAGCACACCTACAACACCCGCAAGCACACCTACAACACCCGCAAGCACACCTACAACACCCGCAGACAACACCCACAAGCACACCTACAACACCCACAAGCACACCTACAACACCCCACAAGCACACCTACAACACCCACAAGCACACCTACAACACCCGCAAGCACACCTACAACACCCGCAGTCACACCTACAACACCCACAAGCACACCTACAACACCCACAAGCACACCTACAACACCCACAAGCACACCTACAACACCCACAAGCACACCTACAACACCCACAAGCACACCTTCAACACCCACAAGCACACCTACAACACCCACAAGCACACCTACAACACCCACAAGCACACCTACAACACCCACAAGCACACCTACAACACCCACAAGCACACCTACAACACCCACAAGCACACCTACAACACCCACAAGCACACCTACAACACCCACAAGCACACCTACAACACCCACAAGCACACCTACAACACCCAAGCACACCTACAACACCCGCAAGCGCACACCTACAACACCCACAAGCACACCTACAACACCCACAAGCACACCTACAACACCCACAAGCACACCTACAACACCCACAAGCACACCTACAACACCCAAGCACACCTACAACACCCACAAGCACACCTACAACACCCAAGCACACCTACAACACCCGCAAGCACACCTACAACACCCACAAGCACACCTACAACACCCGCAAGCACACCTACATATTTTCAGGGTCGTCTCCAAATCGGCTTCAGTTGTTCTTGAACTATTTGATCGTGGATTAAATGCTCGCTGGGAGAAAATCCCTGAAAGCTGTTAATTAATAACTGTGACCTTCATTTGCACAGTGTTCGTGCTTGTGAACAGAAAATGTGTTCAATCTGAAAAAAAAATTATGCCTGGGTTCCAGTGGCTTTGTTTGCTGGAGTAACGTTGGGCTCCAGTGGCTTTGTTTGCTGGAGTAACGTTGGGTTCCAGTGGCTTTGTTTGCAGGAGTAACGTTGGGTTCCAGTGGCTTTGTTTGCAGGAGTAACGTTGGGTTCCAGTGGCTTTGTTTGCTGGAGTAACGTTGGGTTCCAGTGGCTTTGTTTGCAGGAGTAACGTTGGGTTCCAGTGGCTTTGTTTGCAGGAGTAACGTTGGGTTCCAGTGGCTTTGTTTGCTGGAGTAACGTTGGGTTCCAGTGGCTTTGTTTGCTGGAGTAACGTTGGGTTCCAGTGGCTTTGTTTGCAGGAGTAACGTTGGGTTCCAGTGGCTTTGTTTGCTGGAGTAACGTTGGGTTCCAGTGGCTTTGTTTGCTGGAGTAACGTTGGGTTCCAGTGGCTTTGTTTGCTGGAGTAACGTTGGGTTCCAGTGGCTTTGTTTGCAGCAGTAACGATGTGTTCCAGTGGCTTTGTTTGCTGGAGTAACGTTGGGTTCCAGTGGCTTTGTTTGCAGGAGTAACGTTGGGTTCCAGTGGCTTTGTTTGCTGGAGTAACGTTGGGTTCCAGTGGCTTTGTTTGCTGGAGTAACGTTGGGTTCCAGTGGCTTTGTTTGCTGGAGTAGCGTTGGGTTTCAGTGGCTTTGTTTGCAGGAGTAACGTTGGGTTCCAGTGGCTTTGTTTGCTGGAGTAACGTTGGGTTCCAGTGGCTTTGTTTGCAGGAGTAACGTTGGGTTCCAGTGGCTTTGTTTGCAGGAGTAACGTTGGGCTCCAGTGGCTTTGTTTGCTGGAGTAACGTTGGGTTCCAGTGGCTTTGTTTGCTGGAGTAACGTTGGGTTCCAGTGGCTTTGTTTGCAGGAGTAACGTTGGGTTCCAGTGGCTTTGTTTGCTGGAATAACGTTGGGTTCCAGTGGCTTTGTTTGCTGGAGTAACGTTGGGTTCCAGTGGCTTTGTTTGCTGGAGTAACGTTGGGTTCCAGTGGCTTTGTTTGCAGGAGTAACGTTGGGTTCCAGTGGCTTTGTTTGCTGGAGTAACGTTGGGTTCCAATGTCTTTGTTTGCAGGAGTAACTTTGGGTTCCAATGTCTTTGTTTGCAGGAGTAACTTTGGGTTCCAATGGCTTTGTTTGCAGGAGTAACGTTGGGTTCCAGTGGCTTTGTTTGCAGGAGTAACGGTGGGTTCCAGTGGCTTTGTTTACAGGAGTAACTTTGGATTCCAAAGGCTTTGTTTGCTGGAGTAACGTTGGATTCCAGTGGCTTTGTTTGCTGGAGTAACGTTGGGTTCCAGTGGCTTTGTTTGCAGGAGTAACGTTGCTTCATATCTACGATTAATATTAAGTGGCCTCATATTTACGATTGAATTCAAGATATCACGTTTCTAAGAGTAACGATAGTTTCAAAGATTTCACTACTCGGAGTAACTTTAGAGACAATTTAGCTGTAACACAGCTAAATTACACACAGCACAACCTGCTACTCAAAAAGCAGGTCCAAACGAGGCATTGCAAGATAAAATATGAATCGAGTCTTGCTTCATTACCAGAAGAGGACCCCGGAGACGGTTTGCACTTTGCAAAACTGTGTAGTGGAGCTACAATATCACGGGTGGATCGCTCCCTCTTAAGTAGTGGCGCTTTTCCTACAGATACAAAACAAATAAGACTCGTCTTGATGCCCTTTATAAGCACGGGCGAAGGAGCGGATTCGCGATTATCTGGCAAGTGGGTCCAGGACTGTAACGCTGAATGCAGCATGGGATTATTGTGTTCTAAAGACAGTTTATGTGTGCTCGTCTAGTTGTGCTTGCAGGGGTTGCGATTTGGCTCTTTGGTCCCACCTCTCAACTGTCAATCAACTGGTGTATAGATTCTGGAGTCTATTGGGCTCTATCAGATCTACATTTGAAACTGTGTATGGAGTCAGCCTCCACCACATTACTGCCTAATGTGTGTATGTGTGTTTGTGTGTATTTGCGCGCGCGCACACACACACACACACACACACACACACACACACACACACACACACACACACACACACACACACACACACACACACACACACACACACACACACACAAACAGTACATTAGGACACACACGAATATTATGCAACCGACGGTTAGAAAGGTGGGGTCCAAGAGCTAACAGCTTGATCCTGCAGGTTCAAATAGTAAACACACATAAACACACATATATTTATTATATTAACGTTGATCTGAACAAAGAATACTAACTATAAACATTTGAGGTTACTTTTACTGAATGTGACTTAAGTAAACATTAATGACGTTATTCAAACTGAAAGTAAGGTGCTAACCTTACAAGTGTTAAGTAGTTGTACTATCAAAAGAGCCTTGGTGGTACAACTACTTAGCACATGAAGGGATATGAGGACATGATGTACCTTCTCACTTGTTCCAATCGTCTACCACTCTGCTGGCAAAAGAAAACTTTCTAACATTTTATCGACATCTATGTTTTCTTATCTTGAATCTATGACCTCTTGTTTGTGAAGTCGCAGATTTCAAGAATTTCCTCTTTGTCAATTTTGTCGATTCTTGTTACTATTTTGTAAGTACATATCGTCTCTTTTTCTTCTTCCAGCTCTGTTCCACTGAACGCCTCTTGCCTCTCCTCGTAGCTCTTTTTTTGTCGGTTCCGGAAGCCATTTCGCTGCATGATCTTGGGCCTTTTCCGGTTTATTGATGTGCCTCTTGAGTTATGGGAACCACTCAGCCGCTGTGTAGTCAACAGTGTGTATTTACTATTTGTCTGCAGAATCGAGCCATTACCTCTTGAACCCGACCTTTCTAGCCGAATTATTTTTCCTCTATTATGTCTGCTACATATATTTCCCTTTGCCACACTCACACACACACACACACACACACACACACACACACACACACACACACACACACACACACACACACACACACACACACACACACACATCCACAGGAAGTAGCCCGTAGCAGTTGTCTAACTCCCAGGTGCCTATTTACTGATTGGTGAACAGAGGCATCATGGTGAAAGAAACTCTGCCCAATTGTTTCCGCAACCGCCGGGAATCGAACCCGGGCCATTATGACTACGACCCCCAAGGGCTGTCCACTCAGCCGCGAGGCGTCCACTACACATAATACAAGGGCCTCGCGGCTGAGTGGACAGAGCTCTGGGATCCTGGTCCTAAGGGCCCGGATTCGATCCCCGGCAGAGGCAGAAACAAATTGGCAGAGTTTCTTTCATCCTAGTGCTTCTGTTCACCTAGCAGTATATAGGTACCTGGGAGTTAGACAGCTGCTACGGGCTGCTTCCTGGGGATGTGTGTGTGTGTGTGTGTGTGTGTGTGTGTGTGTGTGTGTGTGTGTACTTACCTAGTTGTGCTTGCGGTGGTTGAGCCCTAACTCTTTGGTCCCGCCTCTGAACTGTCACTCAACTAATGTACAGGTTCCTGAGCCTACTGGGCTCTATTATATCTACTGTTGAAGCTGTGTATGTAGTCAGCCTCCACCACATCACTTCCTAATACATTCCATTTGTCTACTACTCTGACACTGAAAAAATTCTTTCTAACGTCTCTATGACTCATTTGGGCACTCAGTTTCCACCTGTGGCACCCTAGTGCGTGTGTGTGTGTGTGTGTGTGTGTGTGTGTGTGTGTGTGTGTGTGTGTGTGTGTGTGTGTGTGTGTGTGTGTGTGTGTGTGTGTGTTTGTGTGTAAACTCTCGTGCGCTTTCTTAGGGATGCATTGTATGTTAGTGTTTTAGTATTTAAGTTCTAATCACCAATAATACTAGTGCTTGTACCCACTGGCTGTAGAGAGGGTCCAGAGAGACTGTGCACTTTTGCGTGTGTAGCTATCAGCAATATGAAGGCATTACATCCATGCGTATGTAGTGGTCAACTTTATGGCGGCATTATACATGTGTATATTGTGTTAAGCTTTATTTTAGTCATACACCTGTCTTTCGAATATCGTTAATTTTCTATACTACTGCTGGCTGTTTATATTAAAGATGACAATATAAAAATTTTTATTATTATTATGATATCTTAGTAATATGATTGCTATATAATAGTGATGATTGCCAACAAATAGTTCTACTCATGGGGCAGTTATCCCCCAATATTAAGTTATTTATAAAAGGTTAAAATATTAAACAAAGTTTGAGTACACATTTATTTCAAAATAGGGATCTGAGGCCGCAACAGAAAGATGAAAACACAATTTTCATATCATTATATCCTTCTGCCACGGTAATTGTAGTCATCGGCATCTAATTATGCACACATTACACATAAGTGTGTATGTATACATACATATATATATATATATATATATATATATATATATATATATATATATATATATATATATATATATATATATATATATATATATATATAGGCTTTTATAAAACTGCATTGGAAAGTGTATCAAAGTGTAAGAAAAGTGTTGAATGTCACTTATGTAGACAGTCTGACATGTCGACATTCGCCAGAGTATGATAACAATCAGTGCAGAAAGCAATGTTCTCATTTCTTGTCTTCAAACTGTTATTTGTCTGTGAACAATATCTCTTTTTTTTCTTTCTCTGACAGTTTTGTCACGTGTAATTTGGCAAGACAAAGATTGTATTAGTGCACGATAACACTCTTGACTCTGTCTTAGCACGTGTATATTTTCCTTGAACTGAGTTTTAAAAACAATTCAAGTGGTTTCTAAGATTTTTTTATACCGAAATGTCTGAGTGATATTTTATGAATGGTTGAAATATGTAATCTTGAGGTTATCTTGAGATGATTTCGGGGATTAGCTTCCCCGCGTAATTTTAATTACGGATTAATTCCCCGCCTATTTTTTGTTACTCACCCCTAGGAAGTAGTTCGTAGCAGCTGTCTAACTCCCAGGTACCTATTTACTGCTAGATGAACAGATGCATCAGGGGTGAACGGAACTCTGGCCATTTGTTTCTGTCTCCATCGGGGATTGAACCCGGAACCTCAGGACTACGAATCGCGAGCGCTGTCCGCTCAGCTATCAGGCCCCTTGCAGGAATCATCATTTGTTAGATTTACATATATTTTACGTGTTGTATATATATATATATCCTGACGTAAAGGAGAATATATTTAACATACAAAGTAGGGTTCATTAAATATTTTGAGAAATCACATTCGTCAGCGGTCAAGACTATAGAGCTGATCTTCAACATACGTCAGTTGCTCTGCAGCTGCTGACGGTGCAAAAACATCTGTTGATTGTATGAAACATTTCGCAGGTAGGTGTTTTTTTTTAGGTAACATCAGTGCTCATTGTTCCCACAGTTTGACGAGCGTCAGATTTGTAGCGGTATTTCCCTAACCTAGTAAAACCCAGCTGACCTATTACAACCCATTAGTCCAAGGAAGGGGTCGATATTACGTAGCTTTGAATTTGACTCAAACACCTGTAATTTGACAGTGAGGTCCATGACGCCGTTAAACACGGTGCAGGTGTCATTCCACACATATTGCATATGTCATGTCACACGCAACGCAGATAAAACACCATACCCCACTGCACGTGTTTTCCCAGCCTGTTTTTCCCTCGTGTTCTATGTTGAATATTTCTATTGTCCCTTGATTTGCTCCGACATACAGGAGGGAATAACTCATTACTCATAGAGTTTTGACGTAAATATGTTGAGGATGATCGCTTAATGTTATTTCATGACACTAACGAATCAGTCACCAGTTTTTGGTCTGTGTCGGGGGGTAATGGTAATTGTGTTTGTTGGTGACCTCCTGTGTCCTTGTTAAACTTAGGGTTGAGCTGAGAAGATATAGTTTACACCAGGAGGAGAGAGAGACATCTTGGGTACACTTCTGCCGCTCTACACACGCCTTGGGTACACTTCTGCCGCTCTACACACGCCTTGGGTACACTTCTGCCGCTCTACACACGCCTTGGGTACACTTCTGCCGCTCTACACACGCCTTGGGTACACTTCTGCCGCTCTACACACGTCTTTGAGATCCAGGAGCAAGACGGTGGTAGAGGCGACTTGAGGCAGCAAATGGAGATGAAAGTGGAGAGGCTGGAAGGTCAGGTAGATGAGCGTCCCGTCAGCAGGGCGAGGAGCAGATCACTGTCACGTCAGGAGGAGCAGGAGCAGTGTCAGCAGGGAGGCAACGGGCACCAGCAGGACGGTGGAGACCCAGGTGGCTGAGTTGCCATGTTGCATGGCAGCTGGCGGGTCACCTGAGGGGGTAGAAGTGATGACACGTGTTACTCTAGTGTTGTTGTTTGGGTTAAATGGGTTCCCTGCTTGCTTGGATTTTTTTTTTTTTTACTAGGGGTTGGGTTCATAAGGGCTGTCTAATGACGTACCTAGTGAAGCTGCAAACCAGAGCTGTTATTCTGCCTTAGGTCATTTGAAGCCTGCTCTTAGGAGCTCATTTATTTCATAAGAATGTTCTTTGAAATTATCACATAGAGAACTCTAATAGAGGAACTATCGTTAAAACTATTTATCAGTCTCTTTGTCTGATCCTGTCTTTCTGTCTGGCCTCTCTCTCTTTCTCTCCCTCTTCTCACTCTCACTCTATCATTCTCTCTCTCTCTCTCTCTCTCTCTCTCTCTCTCTCTCTCTCTCTCTCTCTCTCTCTCTCTCTCTCTCTCTCTCTCTCTCTCTCTCTCTCTCTCTTCTGATAAGAGATATATATTGTCACTACTTGTAATGACAACATATCTCTTATCACAAACAATTATTTCAAACGCTAGTCAGCTATCAGAATCTCCAGCCCCAGATCACACCAGTCTATTTAACAGTTCCATCTAAAGTGGTTTTGGTCAATTTAACGTGTACACAGCGTCAAGGAATGTAAACTATAGATACGGGGTCATGTGACCCAGCACGTACACGGGGTCATCCCAAGCTTCACATATGTACGAGTCCAGTTCAACCTAATTTATGTACGGGGTCAGGTGAGCCTAACATGTACATGTATTTCAGGGTAATTCAATATATAAACTGAGTCAGTTCACCCAATGCAAAAAATATTTGGATAGGGTTGCAGTATTTCAGAATTACAAATGTATATAAATGTTCACTATTCGTTTCCATCATGCCAAGGGCTAAGCAATAAATATGCTGGAAAAATTAAAAACTAAACAAAATCCTAATTAAAACAGTTTTCCATATTGGCAAATACAGTACAAATAAAAGTAGGGATTTAGAAGTGAGCTGTGGTTAAAGGAGCTGGTTGTTGTAGAAGGGATTATTCTTAAAATTACCAACAATTATTTTGTTTTAATAAAACAAATTAGACTTTGTCACGGTGCCATATTGGGACGATGCACTATCTTGGTCTAACACAGAGGTTTAATAAAATAAATATGTGAATATTGTGTGTATATAATTAACTGATTTTGAGAATCACTCACTAGTATATATATATATATATATATATATATATATATATATATATATATATATATATATATATATATATATATATATATATATATATATATATGTCGTACCTAGTAGCCAGAACGCACTTCTCAGCCTACTATGCAAGGCCCGATTTGCCTAATAAGCCAAGTTTTCATGAATTAATGTTTTTCGACTACCTAACCTAACTTTTTCGGCTACCTCACCTAACCTAACCTATAAAGATAGGTTAGGTTAGGTTAGGTAGGGTTGGTTAGGTTCGGTCATATATCTACGTTAATTTTAACTTCAATAAAAAAAAATTGACCTCATACATAATGAAATGGGTAGCTTTATCATTTCATAAGAAAAAAATTAGAGAAAATATATTAATTCAGGAAAACTTGGCTTATTAGGCAAATCGGGCCCTGCATAGTAGGCAAAAAGTGCGTTCTGGCTACTAGGTACGACATATATATATATATATATATATATATATATATATATATATATATATATATATATATATATATATATATATATATATATATATATATATATATATATATAACCTCTTGAATGTTGAGAGAACCTCAAGAGAGAACCTCTTGAATGTTGAACAGCTAAGCCACACCCAACAGAAAGCAGAAACAGCCCAGCTGGTGGAAAAAATAACCACTGCCATGATTCATTAATATCGTCTAAAAAGAGGAAGTATAATTCTAGTTTCAGTTTTCGTAGGTCCCTACTACCTCGTAGGCCCTAGCCCTACTATGCCTAGTGTGCCTGATGATAATCTGGCACTATGAGTAGGTGCTAACCTACTGAGTACCTTATATATGCACATACTGCATATATATATATATAACTCAGCATGAATGTGTGTCTGCCCATCTCTGTCTCTCGGAGCAGAACCGAAATCAAACAGCATCAATCGGAAAAGCAGGCGAGGCGTGTAGCAGTGAACGAGGGAGCCATCAGTATTCCAGGCAGCACCCGCCACACATCCCTCCTGCGCCATACGCTAAAACCTTAAATTCCGACAGCAAAACCCCGCTGGTCCCACTGGGGGTCAGATTCTGAGGAGGTGCTCACATCCTCCTGCCTCGTCTGCAAGTCAAGTAGTTGGCTGTTGCAACCGTCCCCCCAAGACCTGACTCACCCCCACACTCATGTGAATAAGCCTTATATGAAGGCGATGAGTCACAATCACGTGGCTGAAGTATGTTGACCAATCCACACACTATAAAATGAAGGGACGACGACGTTTCGGTCCGTCCTGGACCATTCTCAAGTCGATTGAGAATGCTCCAAGACTGACCGAATCGTTGTCGTCCCTTCATTTTCTAGTGTGTGGATTGGTCAACATCCTTACATGAAGGTTGAAGCGCTATAGCATGTTATAGTCACCAGTATAGTTACTGGTGAGCTGACTCACTCCTTTATCCTTAATCTCATGTCTTTATATGATAGGTTAAGGGCTATAGCGTGTTGTATTAAGGGTGATTTGACTCACCGCTTTTCCTGGTACTTGGTAAGCTGACTCTCGCAGAGTACAAAGCTCCGAGGGCAGAATGTTTTCATTGAAAACAGTAAATAAATTTTACTTATCAAATTATTAGGTCCCGTATTTCATTTTATTTAGAAAGGTCCCGGGTATCATAATTAACTATGAAGCAGTTAACACAAAATCCATCTCAATAAGCTAACCTACTCTTGTGAATCAGCTGACCTACGCTGTGAATCAGCTGACCTACGTTCTGAATCAGCTGACCAAAGAGATAACAACAGCACATGCAACTAGGGACCCTAGTGCATTATTCAACACGGTCAGCAATATACTTACATATATACTTACATATATATACTACATGAAAAAAATTGACTAAATATTATGCAGTTCGTAATGAGATGTTTATTTACTAACGTGAAGAGGTTACGTGAGCTATAATGATAACACGAGTCGGAAAATATGTTTATATTAATTACAAAAAATAATATTTACGACTAAGGGGAAACAAATTATAAAAATTGTGAATATGTTCAAGAAAAATTACAGACTGTCCATTATAGAAGGGATGATAATGTGTGAGGTGACAGCATTATAGTTACCATGTGTGTGAAGTCGGAGCATTATATTTACCATGACAGCACTGTAGTTTTTATGAGGAGACAGCATTGTAGTTCCTATGAGGTGACAGCATTGTAGATACTATGACAGCATTGTAGTTATTATGAGGTGAAAGCATTGTAGATACTATGAGACCATTGTAGTTATAATGAGGTGACAGCATTATAGTTGCCATGTGTGAAGTCGGAGCATTATAGGTACCTTGTATGACGTGGACGATGACGTTGTCAGGGCGGCCTGCAGAAGGCCAGCAGGAATAGTTGCCTGAGTCATGGCGCGTGGCCCCGGCCACCGTCAGTGTACTGGTGGTCACGTTACCCACAATGGTGACCACCTTCACCCTCCCGGAGTCCCGGTCCACCAGTCTGTCGCCCTGGTACCACAGCACCAGTCCTGTGGAGGAGCAATACTGTGGTGACTCTCTTGGTAGTGTACCACAGCACCAGTCCTGTGGAGGAGCAATACTGTGGTGACTCTCCTGGTAGTGTACCACAGCACCAGTCCTGTGGAGGAGCAATACTGTGGTGACTCCTGGTAGTGTACCACAGCACCAATCCTGTGGAGGAGCAATACTGTGGTGACTCTCTTGGTAGTGTACCACAGCACCAGTCCTGTGGAGGAGCAATACTGTGGTGACTCCTGGTAGTGTAACACAGCACCAGTCCTGTGGATGAGCAATACTGTGGTGACTCCTGGTAGTGTACCACAGCACCAGTCCTGTGGAGGAGCAATACTGTGGTGACTCTCCTGGTAGTGTACCACAGCACCAGTCCTGTGGAGGAGCAATACTGTGGTGACTCTCCTGGTAGTGTACCACAGCACCAGTCCTGTGGAGGAGCAATACTGTGGTGACTCTCCTGGTAGTGTACCACAGCACCAGTCCTGTGGAGGAGCAATACTGTGGTGACTCTCCTGGTAGTGTACCACAGCACCAGTCCTGTGGAGGAGCAATACTGTGGTGACTCTCCTGGTAGTGTACCACAGCACCAGTCCTGTGGAGGAGCAATACTGTGGTGACTCTCCTGGTAGTGTACCACAGCACCAGTCCTGTGGAGGAGCAATACTGTGGTGACTCTCTTGGCAGTGTACCACAGCACCAGTCCTGTGGAGGAGCAATACTGTGGTGACTCTCCTGGAAGTGTACCACAGCACCAGTCCTGTGGAGGAGCAATACTGTGGTGACTCCTGGTAGTGTACCACAGCACCAGTCCTGTGGAGGAGCAATACTGTGGTGACTCTCCTGGCAGTGTACCACAGCACCAGTCCTGTGGAGGAGCAATACTGTGGTGACTCCTGGTAGTGTACCACAGCACCAGTCCTGTGGAGGAGCAATACTGTGGTGACTCCTGGTAGTGTACCACAGCACCAGTCCTGTGGAGGAGCAATACTGTGGTGACTCTTGGTAGTGTACCACAGCACCAGTACTGTGGAGGAGCAATACTGTGGTGACTCTCTTGGTAGTGTACCACAGCACCAGTCCTGTGGATATATTTTCTTGAACAGAGTTTGACACGTTCCAAATCATCTCAGTTGGGAGATAGGCTTACACTTTCTCCATCTCTCTCTCTCTCTCTCTCTCTCTCTCTCTCTCTCTCTCTCTCTCTCTCTCTCTCTCTCTCTCTCTCTCTCTCTCTCTCTCTCTCTCTCTCTCTCTCTCTCTCTCTCTCTCTCTCTCTCTCTCTCTCTCTCTCTCTCTCTCTCTCTCTCTCTCTCTCTCTCTCTCTCTCTCTCTCTCTCTCTCTCTCTCTCTCTCTCTCTCTCTCTCTCTCTCTCTCTCTCTCTCTCTCTCTCTCTCTCTCTCTCTCTCTCTCTCTCTCTCTCTCTCTCTCTCTCTCGAATACATACTGTATCTCTTGTCAAATGAATGTACTTTACATAAATAACAATTACTATTACTACTATTATCGCTATGGAATATTTTGAAATTCTGAAACCTACTCAAAAACTCTTGGGAAAACATATCAACGATTTCAGATTTCCTGAATTCGCAAAGGGGGACGATATAAGTGCCGATATTCTTAATGAAGGGCAATTGGGCCGACTCCGACCAGCCCAGGTGTTGCACCAACCCTACAAAAATCCCCTTAAAATGTGAGACTTGGCCCAAGCGTCTAGCCTCGTAAAGACACAGACAGATACATTCTTTTGTAGATTTACATCGATATATCCATTAATAGATATAGATATTAATACATACAACAATTTGCACACTAATTTCACCTCTGAATAATGTAGGTTACGTGAACCCTGCAACCAAGCCGGCCATTGGGAATGCACCTCAAAAATATTAAACTATTGTTCATTGAATTATATATAATTTTAATAAACTATTGTTCATTGAATTATATATAATTACCATACGTTATGTAAATTGTCTAATTAACTGTTGCACAATTTTTTTATCCTGATCTATATACTGGTTAAATATTATGTTATGTTGAAATAGAGCAAAGCTCTCTTGGCAACTAGCATTATACGATAGATTATAAGTATTACACACTTGACAGATGACACTATACAATACAGAATCACACACTTGACGGCTGACACTATACAATACAGTGTTACACACTTGACAACTGACACTATACAATACAGTATCACACAGTTGACTGCTGACACTATATAATACAGTATCGCACACTTGACAGCTGATACTCTACACTACAGAATCAAACACTTGACAGCTGACACTATACAATACAGTATCATTTGACAGCTGACACTATATAATACAGTATCGCACACTTGACAGCTGACACTTACAATACAGTATCGCACACCTGACAGCTGACACTATACAATACAGTATCGCACACTTTACAGCTGACACTATACAATACAGTATCACACACTTGACAGCTGACATTTACAATACAGTATCGCACACTTTATAACTGACACTATACAATACAGTATCACACACTTGACAGCAGACACTATACAATACAGTATCGCACACTTGACAGCTGACACTATAGAATACAGTATCGCACATTTGACAGCTGACTTCAATAATACAGTATCGCACACTTGACAGCTGACTTCAGTAATACAGTATCGCACACTTGGCAGCTGACTTCAGTAATACAGTATCGCACACTTGACAGCTGACTTCAGTAATACAGTATCGCACACTTGACAGCTGACTTCAGTAATACAGTATCGCACACTTGACAGCTGACTTCAGTAATACAGTGTCACACACTTGACAGCTGACACTATAATACAGTATCGCACACTTGACAGCTGCCACTGTGCAATAGAGTATCACACTCTTGAGAGTTGATGCTACACAGTTCATTATTTCACAAACTTAACATTTACAATTATTCATTTCGATATAAAACTCTTGACAGATGACAGTAAAATAAAGTGTCAAACTCCTGACAGATGACACTGTATTCACGTTGAGTTGTGAGCTGATGTGTTCTTTGACTCATCAACATGATATTCAACAGTGTAATACAGCCAGCATGATTTCTAGAGCAACACTGAGTTGAATCATCAAAGTGTTCACATAAAAAAGCTGTCATTAATTTTCCTTGGGGAAGGGACACTTTCAGTGATATATCTGTGCCCAAGCGTTCTGGAGGACGCCAATATATTTTCCTTATACGGCTGTTCATCTTTCGTACCACAGAACATCGTCCTGGCCACGCCACTGAGTTAAAGAATCTATAGGTTATAGAATGTATTGATTACACAGTCACTATCTGAGATAACGTTTAATCTCTCATTACAAATATTTGAGTCTTTGTAACATGTATTCCTGTATATATACACAAGTACAGATTTCTGTAAGAAAATATCTGGATTACAACATACACATGAACCTATATTGTACGTGTTAGGGTTTCCTAAATGCATAATTTTTAATCCTGCCTTGCTCTTATATAAATGGAACTTAAAACTTAAATTAATACAAATTGACCCTTAATTTAAATCTTAAAATAATACAATTAATACAACATCCAAAGTAGGAAAAATATTGTTGTTAACAATTTCAAAATCAAAATCAAAACCTCAGTTATCTAGAATTGTTTAGGAAGAATTAATACCTAAACCAAGCATGTCATCACATCTATGTTCCAGACAACCAGCATTTCCATATTATACTTTGCTGGGAAGATTAGTCTCAAAATATTCCATGTATAAGGTAAGTAACGTAGGGAATATTGGCTTCCACATTGGCACTTTTTCTCGCGTCGACAAATTTCATGCAAATACGTGCTTAAAACTTATGTATGCATATATGAATGAGATACATACAACTCATCAGGGATGACACGTGGATACGCAACTCACCAGGGATGACACATGGACACACAACTCACCAGGGATGACACATGGACACACAACTCACCAGGGATGACACATGGACACACAACTCACCAGGGATGACACATGGACACACAACTCACCAGGGATGACACATGGACACACAACTCACCAGGGATGACACATGGACACACAACTCACAAGGGATGACACATGGACACACAACTCACCAGGGATGGCACATGGACACACAACTCACCAGGGATGACACATGGACACACAACTCACCAGGGATGACACATGGACACACACAACTCACCCGGGATGACACATGGACACACAACTCACAAGGGATGACACATGGACACACAAGTCACCAGGGATGGCACATGGACACACAACTCACCAGGGATGACACATGGACACACAACTCCCCAGGGATGACACATGGACACACAACTCATCAGGGATGACACATGGACACACAACTCACCAGGGATGACACATGGACACACACAACTCATCAAGGATGACACATGAACACACAACTCACCAGGGATGACACATGAACCCACAACTCACCAGGGATGACACATGGACACATAACTCACCAGGGATGACCAGCTCCTCCTTGATGACACACTCAAGACTGACGGTGCTGCCCATCTGGACGTACATCGTCTCCTTCCCCAAGATGTTGGCCCGAGCCTCTGAGGAAACACACACACCAAAACATCTCAAGTACAGCTCAAGATGTATAACATCCAGGCGCATGCAGCTTGCAATACCTGCAAACGGGTCCTACTACCATGTGAAGATTGCAGCTGGTGGCAGAAAATGGTCAATTTTTGACAGACACTGTAATGTAACCAATAAACTGTTAACCCATCCGTTTCATTACAACAAATGTTAACAAAAGGCAGACTATATACGTACTTTGTATTTTGTTTACAGTTTCAATGCGTTTGTATTAACATCAATTAAATATACACTGGCTTCTCCAATTATCGTCTTGTATTAATCGTGGAATGTCAAGAGAGGAGCAAATGACGATAAACTTGGTAATATACCTAATACACAAGGTATTGTAATACTCACTAAACCTGGTATTGAATACCCATTAAATCTGGCATTTTAATATCCACTAAACCTGGCATTGTAATACCCACTAAACCTGGCATTCGTATGGTTTCAACCTATTATCACCTTAGCTCACAGTCACCTGACATCACAGTCATTCCTCATACCTCAACAGCGGTGAACTCCCTTCAACCTCAGTCATCATTCTCGCAAGTTCCCTTAAGGTAGCCTACATGTACTTAACTGAACCTGCTGAATCTAATGACAAAAATTATTTAATGTAGCATTTTCCCGTTCCCAGACAACTGCTTTAGTGCCAATACAAGATGAAGATGGGAATAGCCGGGAAGATTATGCTGGAATATATATATGGCTGTCGTTGGTCTTTGTTTCTTATGTAGGTCTTATTTTCCTTAAGTGATTCCTTAATCTCATATTTTCCTATGAGATTTTTCAAACATTCCCCAGAAAAGTTTCTCGACTTGCCCATGTGGAAGGTCCAGGAGCACGGTACGGGGTCGTGTGCTGGAACACTGACATATTCAAATGATTTGACTGAATATAAATTTGAGTTTAAGCAAGAATTCGTGATAACATTGACTTTTGTCTCCTAAGAAAAACGCGAGTCTCGATAGACTGTCAAATATAAGTCGGCAAATAGTTTCTAGTTCCTAATTCTCTTCTACTGTGTGATTTAGCATCAGATTGATATTTTTTGGTTGAGAACTCACTCGGTATTCAGCTCCTTTCCTGATGAATATGGAACATAATATTCTCCAGCTCGAGGAAATATAATTTTTTTTTGTTCAGACCTGCTTACATTAAGCCAAGCTCATTTGCATTTCTTCCGACAAAGAAAATTGTGAATCTTTAAGTTTGAGAAGAGCAAATATTATTTTTGCCTCAAGATATTTTTAACTGTTACAGAACAGTTCAGACTGCTACACAGTCTGAACTATGACGAGGAGCCGCCGTCCAGAGGCAGTTATTGATCCAGGAGACTGTCGTGTAGACACAGTCAGTGTTCCGTGTGTAGACACAGTCAGTGTTCCGGTGCTCTTCCAGTCAGGAGCTATTGCTGGTTACTAATGAAACAGTGTGTACTCACCTAGATGTTCTTGTGTGGTCGAACTAGGCTTCTTCCCGCCAAACACACACCGAAACTACGACGTTGGTACAACGTTCGAACCAGTTTGAACACCTCCTAACCAGTTATAACAACCAATATAGCAAGTTGTAACACCGTTCTAATACGTCATAAACACGTTAAGCCAAGATGTAACAACTTTATTACTAGTTGTAACAAGTGGAAAATAGAGACAGTTTCGGTTTGTGTTTCCAGGGTTGGCCCCGCCTTCCGAACGTCCTTAGATTACTGCATGTAGTTTTTTTTTTGAGATATATACAAGAGTTGTTACATTCTTGTACAGTCACTAGTACGCGTAGCGTTTCGGGCTATTCCAAAATTCCATTTCCCTGGAATACGATCCCCGCCGCGAAGAATCGTTTTTACAACCCAGTACACATTTTACTGTTGAGTTAAACAGAGGCTACAGTTAAGGATTTGCGCCCAGTAAATCCTCCCCGACCAGGATACGAACCCATGACAAAGCGCTCGCGAAACGCCAGGCGAGTGTCTTACCACTGCACCACGGGGACTGATACAGATTCACGTACAGAGGACGTGATTCATTTCTCACGCTTTTATAATGTTCACATATACAATTTTGAATCGAATTAGCTGTAACGACTTGTACATCTAACCTGTTCCACTTATTGACAGCTCTGACATTGTAAACGTTCTCATTTATTTCTATACGACAGATATGTGTCTGTAGTTCCCTCTATGACCCCCTTGTTCTGCTGTTCCTAGCTATGAACAAAACTGATTTGTGTACTTTATCAATTTCTCTTAGAATCTTGAATGCTGTTGTCATGTCCCCCTCTACATCTCATTTCCTCCAGTGTGGTAAGGTCCAATTTTCTCAGTCATTCCTCATAGCTCAATTCGTTAATCTCAGAAAGGGGTCTCGTTGCATATCTTTGGAGCTTTTCTAGTTTCACCATGTCTTTTTCAAGTAAGGGGTTCCATGCTGGAGATGCATATTCAAGAGTGGGTCTCACCTTTGCTGCATATAGGGCTTTGATTGCCCTTTGTCCAAGTTCCTGAAGGATACACGGACTTTGGCCTTTATGCCATATGCTGCATATGATATAAAGGCCGAAGTCCTGGGGTTGTACCAGGAATGACCCGTGACTGACCTACGACGGTGAAGTTGTACCAAGAGTGACCCGTGACTGACCTACGACGGTGAGGTTGTACCAAGAGTAACCCGTGACTGACCTACGACGGTGAGGTTGTACCAAGAGTGACCCGTGACTGACCTACGACGGTGAAGTTGTACCAAGAGTGACCCGTGACTGACCTACGACGGTGAGGTTGTACCAAGAGTGACCCGTGACTGACCTACGACGGTGAGGTTGTACCAGGAGTGACCCGTGACTGACCTACGACGGTGAGGTTGTACCAAGAGTGACCCGTGACTGACCTACGACGGTGAGGTTGTACCAGGAGTGACCCGTGACTGACCTACGACGGTGAGGTTGTACCAAGAGTGACCGTGACACCTACGACGGTGAGGTTGTACCAGGAGTGACCCGTGACTGACCTACGACGGTGAGGTTGTACCAGGAGTGACCCGTGACTGACCTACGACGGTGAGGTTGTACCAAGAGTGACCCGTGACTGACCTACGACGGTGAGGTTGTACCAAGAGTGACCCGTGACTGACCTACGACGGTGAGGTTGTACCAAGAGTGACCCGTGACTGACCTACGACGGTGAGGTTGTACCAGGAGGCGAGGGGGGGCTGGGTGTTGACCTGGCAGGAGTAGCTCCCGGCGTCTCGGGGCTGAGAGTATCTGATGGTCAGGGTCCACGAGTCCTTCAGGTGAGTGACGCTGACCCGCGAGTCTGATGAGAAGGTCACCTGACCTGAGCTGAGCACGTGTAGGTCGCGACCCCTGATCCACGACACCTGTGTACGGGACACCTGTCAGTCTGGACACCTGTTAGGCTGGACACCTGTCAGTCTGGACACCTGTCATCCTGGACACCTGTCAGTCTGGACACCTGTCAGGCTGGACACCTGTCAGTCTGGACATCTGTCAGGCTGGACACCTGTCAATCTGGACACCTGTCAGGCTGGACACCTGTCAGTTTGGACATCTGTCAGTCAGGACACCTGTCAATCTGGACACATGTCAGTCTGGACACCTGTCAGGCTGGACACCTGTCAGTTTGGACATCTGTCAGTCAGGACACCTGTCAATCTGGACACATGTCAGTCTGGACACCAGTTAGTATGGACACCTGTATATCAGTTACCTGTCAGTCTGTTTGTGAGTCTGGACACCAGTCAGGACACCTGTCAGTCTGGACACCTGCCAGGCTGGACAGTCTGGACACCAGTTAGTATGGACATCTGTCAGTGGTTAGGTTCAGTCATATATCTACATTAGTTTTAAATAAAATTAAAAAAAAATTAACTCATAATGAAATGGATATCTTTATCAATTCATAAGAAAAAATATATAAATTCAGGAAAACTTGGCTTATTAGGCAAATCGGGCCTTGCATAGTAGGCCGAGAAGTGTGTTCTGGCTACTAGGTACGAATATATATATATATATATATATATATATATATATATATATATATATATATATATATTACCCAACATTCTTATTGATGAACATGTCCAGTTCTTCCTTTCTATTTAATTAACTTTGCAAGTTTCTATTTGTTAACTTTTAATTTGGTGTTCCGGGTGCAGCCTATCAACTTCTGGAGGGTTATTAGGTCCACCCCGAAAGCCTACTGGCAACCATGAAGTATATTTTAGTCAAGAACTATAATAAACTTTCAGTGAATACATCACCGAGAAATTATGCTCACGTTACGTTGTATATATCTCTATGTTGACTACCTATACGACCTGTCGCTTACCTGCCTGTTGGCCAAATGCTTGACTATGCAGGTGAGGGCTGCGGTCTGGCCGGCCCTGACTGTGACGTGCCTGGTGGGGGGCTCCAGGAAACTGGGTCCCTCTCGTTCCCTCTCATCGTTGTTCTCGTTGAGCGACCCTTCGCTGGTGCCGGTTCCAGGCTCCTGCTTCAGGTTGTGGATCACGTTCTGTAGCTCTCTGGGGTTCGCCTGGTCCGTCTGGGTGGCGTGGGTCGTCTCACTCCCACCAACCACTGCAACTAAGAGCAAATACATACGTCAACTCCTGACTATTGGCTAATACGAGTATTTATTGCGGTGGGGCTGTCTTTGAAATCCGTGTTCAGGAAATTGTGGCCGACTGATATCCGGCCTCCAGCCGCATACGGAAAATTGCTACCGGCTCGCTGGATGCATAAAGAGAGAGTACAGAGAATGAGACGCAATACCGCGGTGGAACGCAAATAACCGAACTCCTTACACATGAAATGAAAGAAAAGTGACGTCTTTGCCGCCCGTCTTCAACACTCATGACGATTTCGTAAAAGCTCCACGACATATATTCAACAAACACTTACCCAAGTACTTCCGAACCTTTACACCTTTTCTCAATCTTTGACGGCTTTGTCTTCCTTTATTAAACGGTGTAGGAGCATCGAAACTTCCCAAACAAATGTTATCATTGTTATAAACATGCTTCTGGTGCTCTGGAGCGTGTGAACGATTTAATAAATGTAAACCAAGCCGCCAAAAATGTAAACAAATCCGCCAAAAATGTAAACCAAGCCGCCAAAAATGTTAACAAATCCGCCAAAAATGTAAACCAAGCCGCCAAAAATGTAAACAAAGCCGCCAAAAATGTAAACCAAACCGCCAAAAATATAAACAAATCCGCCAAAAATGTAAACCAAGCCGCAAAAATGTAAACAAATCCGCCAAAAATGTAAACCAAACCGCCAAAAATATAAACAAAACCACCAAAAATGTAAACAAAGTCACCAAAAATTGACAAAAGATATACAGGTTCGTATGGACTTGCGTTATACACTTCTTGTTGAGGGCGGCCCGGCGAAGTGTGTTCCCTTTTCCCTCGTATATGTGGAGCGGGTAATTGACGAAGAGAGTCTTCGTGAGAACATGGAGGTCTGAGAGGCTGTAACCCTCAGGACGTCTACCATCATGGGAGCCGAGGTGCTGATGGACTCCACCTCCTGATTAAGCTCTGACGAAGCATATTACCTAGAGATAAGTTTTTTTGTAGCTATAACTATAGATAATATTTAAATACAGTACCAAATAGTGATTCCAGTCTGGGGGAGGGGGAATACTTCTCCATAACACCAAATGCCGTTGTCTGGGGGGAGGAATACTTCCCCACAACAGCAAATACCGTTGTCTGGGGGTAGAATACATCCCCACAACACCAAATACCGTTGTCTGGGGGGAAGAATACTTCCCCACAACACCAAATACCGTTGTCTGGGGGGAGGAATACTTCCCCACAACACCAAATACCGTTGTCTGGGGGAAGAATACTTCCCCACAACAGCAAATACCGTTGTCTGGGGGAGGAATACTTCCCCACAACAGCAAATACCGTTGTTTGGGCGCCCTGACGCCGGCCTGTGGATGCTCTCACTTTAGGTCTGGTCAAAGAGGATCACTGGTGTTGTTCGCCTGTAAACGTAATTACTTGTTTGGTTCGAGAACTCTTATTCTCTTTTACTCTATATTTTGTGTTTTCTCTCAAAATTAGCGTGTGTATGTGTATGTCTTGTGGGTAGATACTCATATGCACGTTTGTATGTGTTCGGCATCTGTTCGTGGCATCTCTACGTATGTATAAATGTTTGTATGTATATATGACTGCATTCATAATTATATATATATAATGTGTGCTACAAGAGAGAGAATGTTTGTCACTCTGTTTATTTGTCCAAAGCTGCTAGTTAGATGCTTGGTCTAGCACCAAGCATCTGACTTCTGGCTACTAGATACAATATATATATATATATATATATATATATATATATATATATATATATATATATATATATATATATATATATATATATATATATATATATATATATATTAGTATATTTTGGTAGCAGTCTTTCCTGTAGACATATATTATTAAATATGACCGAAAAAGTAAGATTAATAATTCTAACACGAATTTTCTCAATCTTTCGTACATTTCTTTTCACTGTTGGAGGTAAATCAAAAATCAATTCTCCAAAATTCATTTTTATTTCTAGTCTGACGCGACACGAGCGCGTTTCGTAAAACTTATTACATTTTCAAAGACTTTAGTTTACAAATACACAACTGAATAGAACTTACGCATCTCCGATTTTATATCTACATTTTAGTGAGGTGGATGGGGTGAGGTGGCATTAATAGGGTATTAATTTCATCAACACAAGACAGAACAAGAGGTGGCATTAATAGGGTATTAATTTCATCAACACAAGACAGAACACGAAACAATGGGTATTGAATAGAAGTGTTTGTAGAAAGCCTATTGGTCCATATTTCTTGATGCTTCTATATTGGAGCGGAGTCTTGAGGTGGGTAGAATATAGTTGTGCATTAATTGGCTGTTGATTGCTGGTGTTGACTTCTTGATGTGTAGTGCCTCGCAAACGTCAAGCCGCCTGCTATCGCTGTATCTGTCGATGATAGATACAACACAGAAATCATCGATAGATACAGCGATAGCAGGCGGCTTGACGTTTGCGAGGCACTACACATCAAGAAGTCAACACCAGCAATCAACAGCCAATTAATGCACAACTATATTCTACCCACCTCAAGACTCCGCTCCAATATAGAAGCATCAAGAAATATGGACCAGTAGGCTTTCTACAAACACTTCTATTCAATACCCATTGTTTCGTGTTCTGTCTTGTGTTGATGAAATTAATACCCTATTAATGCCACCTCTTGTTCTGTCTTGTGTTGATGAAATTAATACCCTATTAATGCCACCTCACCCCATCCACCTCACTCAAATGTAGATATAAAATCGGAGATGCGTAAGTTCTATTCAGTTGTGTATTTGTAAACTAAAGTCTTTGAAAATGTAATAAGTTTTACGAAACGCGCTCGTGTCGCGTCAGACTAGAAATAAAAATGAATTTTGGAGAATTGATTTTTTATTTACCTCCAACAGTGAAAAGAAATGTACGAAAGATTGAGAAAATTCGTGTTAGAATTATTAATCTTACTTTTTCGGTCATATTTAATATATATATATATATATATATATATATATATATATATATATATATATATATATATATATATATATATATATATGTATGTATATATATATATATATATATATATATATATATATATATATATATATATATATATATATATATATATATATATATATGCAAGGTCTGATTTGCCTAAAAAGTCGAGTTTTCCTTAAATTATATATTTTTCTAAACAAATTCTTATCGAATGATAAAGCTTTTCATTATGTTAGATATGATTTACGTTTTGGTTTAATTGGAGTTAAAACGAAAATAGAGATATGACCAAGCCTAACCTATCCTAACCTAGCCAACCTAATATAATTAAGGTACTATTTCAAGTTCTTTATATAATATAATAATATTAGTTTAAATCAAATAATTTAAAATTTTTGCTGAAAATAACGAAAATCACTCTGCCAGTTAGGCAAATCGGGCCTTGAATACTAGGCCAAGCAGTATGCTTACCAAGTGATTGTTCGAGGCTGCAGAGGAGAGAGGAGAGAGGGGGGTAGGGGTGGGAAAAGAAGAGGTAAGATGGGAGAGAAGCAGGAGGTGGGAAGGAAGAGGAGGGATGGACTGGAAGGTAGGGAGAACAGCAGACTATCCCCGGGCACAGCCGGGTACCTCTCCTAGTTATCTATCCACCACAGCATCACGCTTCAGATAAACATGAGTGCAATTATGAATTGTCTTCATAGAAAAGATAAAATAATTCACATATCGTGTAGAAGTAATTATTAAAAAAATGAAAATGAGTAAGTTCACATTTCATCGATGTTAATAACAAAATTTATATGATTTTTGTAAAAAAAAATTAATGTCAGAAGGTCAGAAAACATGAAAACGCTTTCTATTTAAATTTACTGCCAGGAGCGTTATTGAAATTATAATGGCATTTGATAAATTATAATAAAAAGGAGTAATAATCGTTTGATGTCCAATAAAATAAAGAATATAATTTTATTTTTTATTTGTCAAAAATCTGTTGCAAGTACCCGTCATTAGCGTCTTTCTATCTCTTGCATTGCTTCGTTTTATATTAAAATGTGCATTCTGTTTGAGGATAGGAAATTATATTCTGCTGAACGTAAGGGCTGTTGGCTGGCTGGCTGGCTGGCTGGCTGGCTGGCTGGCTGGCTGGCTGACTGGCTGGCTGGCTTGGCTGGCTAGCTGGCTGGCTGGTTAGCTACCTGGTTGGCTGGCAGGCTGGCTGGTTGGTTGGCATTTTGGGATGGGATTGAAAGTGGTAAAGACGGGGGCTGTGAAGGGTGATGATGATAATATGTGAAAGATCAGAAGCACTGAAGGGCCAACAAATGTGATGTAAGGGCGGGATGGGACAGTACTTCAGGAAAGGAAGAGGAAAAACAAGGTGGGGACAGAATACTGATTGATTAACCAACCACGCGTTCCTCTCCCACCACAGACGAACAGTGATCTCATGTTTGTACTGAGATGGAGAAAGATGCCCACAATGACCAGAGGGGAACTGCTCGGTGGCTGTGTAGTTACGAGGTGTTTTTAGCGAGATGGGAAGGGTGTTTACAATGTGAGAGGGGAGCATGTATGGATGCTCCCCTCTCTCTTACACACACAGGTGTTGCTCCAATGACACGTGAAAATTTAAATGGCAAGTGGAAAATACGTATGGGAGGGGTGTGGACAAATCGTGTTGTGGTGGGAGGCTTGAGTCCAAAGGTCTCATAATCCCTCTCGGGGAATCGAAACCGGGTCATATGCCGACGGCGCTACAGTTCACCATCCTTAGGGGACCGAGATCAGGCATGCTAGTCATTTACGAAATATTTTCACAGGAAATCTGAAATAATCCGGAGAATTTCCTGATTAGAATTAATGAGTTCCAAAAAGTTTCTCCTCTGACGTCAACAATTTTGTTTACACGACGCTCGACCTTCCTGCCAGACGAGAGACTCTAGAGAGAGCTTCACTGAGACTCTAGAGAGAGCTTTACTGAGACTCTAGAGAGA